GTCCGCATTGATAACTTGAACGCGGAAGTTTGACCGACAAGAGTGTATTGTGCACTCTTGTCGGTCGCAGTGTCTCATTCTGGGAGACATTGCCTCTGCATGTCTCCCAGAATGGAACAATGTTCCGCATTGATAACTTGAACGCGGAAGTTTGACGACAAGAGTGTATTGTGCACTCTTGTCGGTCGCAGTGTCTCATTCTGGAGACATTGCCTCTGCATGTCTCCCAGAATGGAACAATGTTCCGCATTGATAACTTGAACGCGGAAGTTTGACCGACAAGAGTGTATTGTGCACTCTTGTCGGTCGCAGTGTCTCATTCTGGGAGACATTGCCTCTGCATGTCTCCCAGAATGGAACAATGTTCCGCATTGATAACTTGAACGCGGAAGTTTGACCGACAAGAGTGTATTGTGCACTCTTGTCGTCGCAGTGTCTCATTCTGGGAGACATTGCCTCTGCATGTCTCCCAGAATGGAACAATGTTCCGCATTGATAACTTGAACGCGGAAGTTTGACTGACAAGGTGCATTATCCAATCTTTTTGTCATATACCTCAACCCACAAAGACAAAACCTTACATAAAATAGGTAAACTTTGGTTTTCACTTAATAATGTTTATTTTAATTTTTTGTTCTTTATATAACTTTTTCTTCTACTAAACTATTTTACAGACTCTACTGAGCTATCCTCACATATATACCTGTGACAATAACACATATATACTCCCTTCATATTCTGATCTCATGACATATTACAGCACAAACTATAATTATACAACATACCTCATAAAGTCTGATTTTACCCCTATCTAAGCGTTCAAAACCTATTTTCCGCGTAATCTGATTCTTCTGGCTCTGCTGATTCGATTTCTGCTGTCAGATCGTGAAAATATGCATCACACAATGAGATAAACACAAAATACACAACTTAATATTTTCCTTAAAATTGTCAATTCCTCGATCTTGACATATTTATTATTTCCTCCGTTTTCCCTCACAAATATATTTAATTTTCTGAATAAGACGTATAATAAAATGAATATCTTAAAAACTAAAATACAAAATTAATGTTGGGTAATGACTAGATATAGTATGCACTTTTGAATTCATACATTTTTTGAAAAAATTGTATTTTCAAAAAAAAGATGTTGTTTCAGTATGAACTTGAAGAGAAATTTTAAGGAAAATATTAAGTTGTGTATTTTGTGTTTATCTCATTGTGTGATGCATATTTTCACGATCTGACAGCAGAAATCGAATCAGCAGAGCCAGAAGAATCAGATTACGCGGGGAAAATAGGTTTTGAACGCTTAGATAGGGGTAAAATCAGACTTTATGAGGTATGTTGTATAATTATAGTTTGTGCTGTAATATGTCATGAGATCAGAATATGAAGGGAGTATATATGTGTTATTGTCACAGGTATATATGTGAGGATAGCTCAGTAGAGTCTGTAAAATAGTTTAGTAGAAGAAAAAGTTATATAAAGAACAAAAAATTAAAAATAAACATTATTAAGTGAAAACCAAAGTTTACCTATTTTATGTAAGGTTTTGTCTTTGTGGGTTGAGGTATATGACAAAAAAGATTGGATAATGCACCTTGTCAGTCAAACTTCCGCGTTCAAGTTATCAATGCGGAACATTGTTCCATTCTGGGAGACATGCAGAGGCAATGTCTCCCAGAATGAGACACTGCGACCGACAAGAGTGCACAATACACTCTTGTCGGTCAAACTTCCGCGTTCAAGTTATCAATGCGGAACATTGTTCCATTCTGGGAGACATGCAGAGGCAATGTCTCCCAGAATGAGACACTGCGACCGACAAGAGTGCACAATACACTCTTGTCGGTCAAACTTCCGCGTTCAAGTTATCAATGCGGAACATTGTTCCATTCTGGGAGACATGCAGAGGCAATGTCTCCCAGAATGAGACACTGCGACCGACAAGAGTGCACAATACACTCTTGTCGGTCAAACTTCCGCGTTCAAGTTATCAATGCGGAACATTGTTCCATTCTGGGAGACATGCAGAGGCAATGTCTCCCAGAATGAGACACTGCGACCGACAAGAGTGCACAATACACTCTTGTCGGTCAAACTTCCGCGTTCAAGTTATCAATGCGGAACATTGTTCCATTCTGGGAGACATGCAGAGGCAATGTCTCCCAGAATGAGACATTGCGACCGACAAGAGTGCACAATACACTCTTGTCGGTCAAACTTCCGCGTTCAAGTTATCAATGCGGAACATTGTTCCATTCTGGGAGACATGCAGAGGCAATGTCTCCCAGAATGAGACACTGCGACCGACAAGAGTGCACAATACACTCTTGTCGGTCAAACTTCCGCGTTCAAGTTATCAATGCGGAACATTGTTCCATTCTGGGAGACATGCAGAGGCAATGTCTCCCAGAATGAGACACTGCGACCGACAGGAGTGCACAATACACTCTTGTCGGTCAAAGTTTTGCAATCACATTCTGATTGCAGAAGATTGTTCCATTCTGGGAGACATGCAGAGGCAATGTCTCCCAGAATGAGACACTGCGACCGACAAGAGTGCACAATACACTCTTGTCGGTCAAACTTCCGCGTTCAAGTTATCAATGCGGAACATTGTTCCATTCTGGGAGACATGCAGAGGCAATGTCTCCCAGAATGAGACACTGCGACCGACAGGAGTGCATTATGCAATCTTGTCGGTCAAACTTCCGCGTTCAAGTTATCAATGCGGAACATTGTTCCATTCTGGGAGACATGCAGAGGCAATGTCTCCCAGAATGAGACACTGCGACCGACAAGAGTGCACAATACACTCTTGTCGGTCAAAGTTTTGCAATCACATTCTGATTGCAGAAGATTGTTCCATTCTGGGAGACATGCAGAGGCAATGTCTCCCAGAATGAGACACTGCGACCGACAAGAGTGCATTATGCAATCTTGTCGGTCAAACTTCCGCGTTCAAGTTATCAATGCGGAACATTGTTCCATTCTGGGAGACATGCAGAGGCAATGTCTCCCAGAATGAGACACTGCGACCGACAAGAGTGCACAATACACTCTTGTCGGTCAAACTTCCGCGTTCAAGTTATCAATGCGGAACATTGTTCCATTCTGGGAGACATGCAGAGGCAATGTCTCCCAGAATGAGACACTGCGACCGACAAGAGTGCACAATACACTCTTGTCGGTCAAAGTTTTGCAATCACATTCTGATTGCAGAAGATTGTTCCATTCTGGGAGACATGCAGAGGCAATGTCTCCCAGAATGAGACACTGCGACCGACAAGAGTGCACAATACACTCTTGTCGGTCAAACTTCCGCGTTCAAGTTATCAATGCGGAACATTGTTCCATTCTGGGAGACATGCAGAGGCAATGTCTCCCAGAATGAGACACTGCGACCGACAAGAGTGCACAATACACTCTTGTCGGTCAAAGTTTTGCAATCACATTCTGATTGCAGAAGATTGTTCCATTCTGGGAGACATGCAGAGGCAATGTCTCCCAGAATGAGACACTGCGACCGACAAGAGTGCACAATACACTCTTGTCGGTCAAACTTCCGCGTTCAAGTTATCAATGCGGAACATTGTTCCATTCTGGGAGACATGCAGAGGCAATGTCTCCCAGAATGAGACACTGCGACCGACAGGAGTGCATTATGCAATCTTGTCGGTCAAACTTCCGCGTTCAAGTTATCAATGCGGAACATTGTTCCATTCTGGGAGACATGCAGAGGCAATGTCTCCCAGAATGAGACACTGCGACCGACAAGAGTGCACAATACACTCTTGTCGGTCAAACTTCCGCGTTCAAGTTATCAATGCGGAACATTGTTCCATTCTGGGAGACATGCAGAGGCAATGTCTCCCGAAATGATACCGTCATAACAACACCAATTTATTCCTTCTTTCCATTGTCATACAATTCAATATTTTTATCAATCTTAATCAACTTTTTTTATTCTTCTTTAATTCAATTTATCTTTCTCCTAGCATATCTATTCCTTTAACAGACATAAAATCACTAATCGAGCTTTTTCAATACTCAAAATTTCATATAAATCTTTGTTATTTTTTCTCTCATCGCTTATTTTATTAAATATACATATTTCCTCTCACATACCCCTCTTCATATATATTGGATCTCAACACTCATCTATTAGAACAATATATTTTCGCTTAATCTCATATTATTCATTAACAATCTTTCATCTTCTTATTTCTAGTTAACCTACCAATATATATATAGAATATATGCCCAATTACATATTCAGATACATTAAATTCAAGAAATTCTTCTAATATTATTCTCCTATTCATAATAAAATCATATTTAGTCTCACATCACAATTCTATCAGTTCTCAATATCATATCATATTGGTAACATCACATATATCTCTTATAATATCACTTAAATTTGTATTTTTTTATTAATTATATTTAATTAGTTCTACATTCTATTATTATAGAGGTTTGACAAACTCATCAATAGTTAAAATCAAAATCTATTCAGAACTTTGAATCTAATGAAAATTACATTTCGATATCTTTTTGCAAGCCTAATTTTTTGTATTATCTTAAAATACATTTAGTAATATTATGTACGTATTGAATTCAAATTATAGCGCAGTAACATGCAACTCATCTTGAGATTCACATTTCATTTTAGAAGATGAACAAAGAAAGGTGTATGCTAAAAATCATTTCACAATAAATGGAAATAAAACGAAATTGTTAAAAGAAAAAAATGAAAATTGTTAAGGGTTGACCGACGTCCATTCAATTTTTGAGAGGGCATTCAAAATAAATTGAACTTCAAGTTCATTTAACTCACTATCTAGATAGTATCTGAAAACATTTAATTATTTTTGTTATTTCATGAAAAATAAGTTTATATAAATAACCACCCTAATGCAATATATGATGGAAACAATTCTCAAAGTATAGTATAATACTAAATATAAACAAAATTTTTATTTAGAACAATATTAGTTTTTAGACAATATTTGGAATTCTCTTTCAAGTTTCTGCAGTTTGTTGATTAATTTAGCAATTTCATTTGTACCATTCATTTTATCTTGCATGTCTTCTCTTTCCTGCAGTAGTTCATCAATACTATCTTCTAGATTAGAAAACTTTCTTTTATCTGTTGATTTCCTCTTCATTCGTGATACTTCATGAGACAAATTATCAATTCTTCTGTCGAAATCATCTCTCATTCGAGAAATTTGTTCTGTTGAATCCAATATCTTTTTCGCATTTCTGAAATCATTTTCAGAGAGTTGTATCAAAGCATCAAGCTTCTGCTCTCTTTCCATTGTTCCCGTGTTGTCACAAACATAAACAGTCATGACACCATTGACATCAAGTTTCAATTTGACCCAAAGGGAATCAATATTTGATGGAATGTTTTGTATGTTAGTTTGAGCAATCAAATCGTTATTGCTGCAATGTTCTAAGTCTTCTCCTTGGAATATTTCAAGTTTCAGGCTTCTTTTCGCTTCAATTTTGAAAGGATATTGAATTTCACTCGGCAAACTTGTATTTTTTAGAATTCTTGCAAATACTATAATCTAATAATCAAGTTATAATAAAATATATATCTATCTTTCAATCAAATTCCTTTCAAATTGTAAAATAATTTCTAGATCTCGAATAAATCATGGCCTGAGATATCTTTGCATCATGTTATATTGACCACATTTGATATATTTTATACCATGAGTAAGGATTATTCTTAACACTTATGCATAACTGTTGAAAATAAGACTTATAAAACAATTTTCATTCAATTAGAGTAATATGGTCTGAAATATCTTTCGGTTATGTTGCATTGACATGGCTTGATAGATTTTAAAAAATACGTAATGATTATCAATTTACTCAATTTGATATGGAATTTATTGACAAAATTCAATTTATCAGGCAAAAATCCTTAATGATATAACCGTATTGAAATTTTTCCGACACACGATTAAAGTGAGGAATTTCAGAAGTTGGAATTTTTATAAACATTTTGACTCATGATTGATAAGTTTAAGGCCCTGAAAGACGTTCAACGTATAATACACCAAAATGTGGAGTTTTCCAAAGCATTTTTCGAATCAGGAAATGATATTATAGGTGAAATTCAAAAAATTAATGAAAATATCACAAATACATACGAAAAATACTTTTGTCGCTTGAATAAGATAATACATCAACTTAGTGAAACAGGTATTGCTTTCCAATTAGTTAATGAACCAGAAATTATTTTGAATTTCTTGTTATCGAAGAAAATTATCACCCAAGAAAATCTTAATGACATTATAAATTCACACAATCTAATTGATTTATATATCACTTACTTTCCTTCTTTTTTCAACTATTTTCTTATTCAAACAAATTTAGACGAAGAATCTTCAAAACAATCTCATTATTCATTCATGAAGGAAATTTATGATAAAGCCAGTAAAGAACCTGCATTTAAAGCACTTTTCTTCAACTTTGCTATTGTTGAGTTTTTAACACCTCAATTCATTTATTTTTTAAACAAAATCATTGACATATCTTATGCTTACTTTGATTCAACTGATAATTATGTTTTGGAGCCAGATGAAAATGAATTCATTAACAAATTTAACAAAAATATTCATAAATGTCCAGATTACATTCTTGATCTAATAAAAATCACACCAGAAGTCATTACAAATTCTCTTCAACTTTTAATCAATAAACATCCAATATTATTAGATCTTGTTCCTTATTACATTGATGCGAAAGATAATTTCGTCAAATTACAAGCTCCTATTGATATAAATAATACAATTAAGAATTCTACAAAGAGTCAAAAAACAGGATACATTGACGTAATATTACCAAGAAATTCTCTTGAAACAGAACAAAGAATTAAACATGAAGGACTTAGAAATCTTTTAAAGGAACTTCCTCCTCTTCCTATCATTTCAAATCCAAACAATGAAATGACAATTGAGGGATATTTGAGATACAGTATTAGTTTAATCCATTCTAATAAGCGAGCTTATTTTGAAAAGAAACTTAATGAATTCCTCAAATACAGTGAAAAAGGAAGAATGCAAAGTTTATTCAGTAGCAATGATCCAAGAATGATTCAAATTGCAAATAATGTGATTTTGGAAATAAATCCACAAGAAAAGAGTTATGGTGCTACTCTATCATGCCAATACGCAACTACAAAGGGAAAACTATTAAAATTTGAACAAAAATACAAAGAAATACACGAAAACTTAATTGGATATTATATCCATTTATATGAAGAGGGAGGTAAAACTAAATATATTCTCAAGAAAGATGTTGAAAATCTCAAAAAGGAATTCCCAGATGTATACTTTATTTATCAAAAACACATGAAATTTATCAAATATAACTACAAGAAAACCTACAAAGAGTTTGTTTCCAAACATGATATAGATATCTATTTTCAAATGCGTGCAAATATTTTTGAAAGATATGAAAGATTTTATGATTTCCAATATGATCCAGATGTTCCATGTTTTGATTATCAGAAAGCTATGTTCATGAATAGTGAAAAATGGCTACAAAAGAAAATTAATTTTTGCAAAGCTTTTTCATATAACAAAGACCCAATTGAACTATATAAAATCTTTACTACATTCGATACAAGAATGTTCAAAATATTCAATGGAGATGATGGACCATTTGATAAAGATCATGAATTTCCTTTCTATTTAGTTCTTATATCCTTCCATACACCTCCAAATTTCTTTGTAATCCTCAACTATATCAAAGAAAGTCTTACTCTAATAGATAAAAATGATTCTCAAAAAGAACTTGTTTTTAAAGAGGAAATCAAATCGAAAATCAGTATATATTTGCTGATGGAAAACTTTGATCTTATTGAAGAAAAAAAGAAAGCAGAGATTGAGAAAAGAGAAAGAGCAAAAAGGAAAGCAATCGACAATCTTAAATAAAAAATTGTTATATCTCTAAAAATATTTATTTATGAAATATTATTCCCTCCTTCAGCTTTTATATGTATGCCATTCATATCAATCCTTTGCTGCATGACCACAAATTAATTAGAGTTTGAATCAAAATCTCATTTTAATTACATATTAATGAAATTTTTAAATGAATATCGTAAACATTACTTTTCCAAAATAAGGTATATGTAAGTTAAATATGTATAGAATGTTAATATTTACTGTTTAATTAAATAGCTATAGTTTGCTAGTTAAACACAAAAATAAGAATTTAATTTGCAAAATGTGTAATATATTATGACAATACTAATGAAGATGTAAATAATAGTCATACACATATTTATGCCCGAAGGATTCTCTGATAAGAACCATCATCATAAGATATATACTATTAGAAATGTGCATTTAATCGCTTCTATGCAATTTCACATGCTAACTCTGATAACCATAAGTACTAAAGTACTTACATAGGGGATTCCAATATGCCAATCAAAGAGAAAAAGATAAAAATTCACAATCGAATTTTATTTTATATGTTATGTGAAATTAATGAAGCTTTTATCCATAACTCCTGCAAGAAAACAGCTCAACTTGCTAAGGTTATAGAAGTGATGAATGGAAAAGCTTTTGACTATGGGATTGAGATGAAAAATCTCAACACTGTTCATAATGACGAAATACAAAGAATTGTTAATGATTTTATTGATACATCAAACAAAATTTATGACGATTTAGTTGACTTTAGAAAATTAATCATCAATAATGCATGCGACGACTACGGAAATAGATATAAAAAGATAAAATTAGATTATTCGGACTTAATAAGAAACGCAATCGAGCAATATAACAACATACGTCTTCAAAACAAAGATCTAAAACAGCATATGGCAGATTTGCAACAAAATATCAATTTTTCATTTTCAAATTTTACAGAAAAACAACTAAAAATATTAGAATCTATTAAAAAACAGAACGACAGTTGCAGGAGAGACATAACTAGATCATTAATTATACGAGAAAGAGAATACAAAGACAAAGAAAACAAAATAATTTCTCAATTTAAACAAGATATTGCACAAATTACAAAAGAGAACGGTGATATCATCAATAAACTACAACAGCAAATCAAGAAGATGGTAGGAATTGAAATTTTAAAGAGAATTTCAGAATTTAATAAATATAAAACGGAAATTGCAGAAATTAAAGCAATTACGAAGCAGATCCGACAAGAACATACCAATGTTATTAAGCAATTCAAGAATTTACAAGCCAATTTTCAGTTTCATCGCAATAATTTTTTAAATGAAATAAAAAATGCAATAAAACCAATAAACAAAGACCAACAAAGTGTGAAACGAAACATGATGCTCGAGAACAAGTCCCACAGCCTTGATATCCAAATACAAACCAAAAAATTGAACGAAAAAAGAAATTTTCATGAAAAAGAAATTTTTCAGTTACAAAACCAATTAAACGATATTCGACAAAAACAACAAATTTCTGCAAATTCTTTCGAATCAAATCAGCAGAAAAAGTCGAATATGAGCGAATCTAAAAGAATTGCGTTGAAACAACAATACGATGAGACAATCTCCACGATAACAATGTTAAATGAAGAGGCAAGGTCTAAAATCAATGGTTATCAGCTGATTTCGGATAAAATTTTCAAAAAAATTGGATCAAATACAAATGACAACCTTGATATCGTTTTAGACCAAAAGGAATCGTTTATATCAAGCCTGGATAGCATGGAAAACAAGTTCCGAAAGAGATATGAAGCAGAAGAAAAAGGATTTAAAATTTTAATCACAAAAAAAGAGGAACAGTTCAAAAATTTCGTTGCCAATCAAATCATTACTATCAACAAAAACATAAAAAAGCAGAAAGAACTCAATGAAATCTCAATTAAAATGATTCGTCAACAAGATTCGCAAAATAAACTAGCTAGAGATAAAATGGAGAGCCAGGACACAAATATAAAAGAATTACTAGTGAAAAATGAACCAGAAATGGAAGAAAGAAGAAAAAATCTTGAAAATAAAATTAAAATTTTCAAATCTGAGCTAGAAAACAAAGCAATATTAGTCAAGAACCATTTCGATAGTGATCTTAATGAGAAAGTAACCAGTATCAAAGAGAAAAATCGTATTGAACTTGAAAATTTGGAATTTAATTTTGATTCTGAGCTAAATTCTCATAAAAACAATGTTTCAAGGATCGCCAAACTTCTTAATGATGAAATAGCTAAGGTTGACCAGTCAAAAACCTTTGCATCCCGTAAAATCGAGGCTTTGGACTCTCAAATTTCAAAAATTACCAAAGAAATCCGAAAATTGAATAGACAAAAAATTTCTGAAGAAAATGATATTACAAACTCGTTCCAAATGCAAATACAGGTTGAGCAAGTACCATTAAACACAAAAATAGATCAGTTATCCAAACTTTACACTGATGAAGAGAATTTGAAAGGAATTGAAATAATTGACTCGATAAGGAAGCTCAGAATGACACAGAACAAGAACAGAGACATCATTAATAACCATGAAAAGGAACTACAGGATTTAAAAACGAAGTTTTCACAAGAAATCCAAAAAATGAAAGAAAATTTGGAAAAAATCAAAGGAAATTACTTCGAAAACGAACTTATTGAGAAACTTAAAGACAAAGAGAAGGAAGCAGAACTAAAAATTAAGAATTATGAAGAAGAAACTGAAAATATTTTAAATTCTCTGAAATCTAAGATAGAAACCACAAAAATACAGATTGAAGAACAGAAGAAACAAATAACAGACCAAATTGAACAATATTCAAAGCCTATTGACCCTTTTGTTTTAGAAAAACCAGATAATTCCGAAATATTAGAAAAAATTTCCTCAAAGAAAGAAGAAATCATCAAAGAATTTAATGTTAAGAAACAATATGTTGAGAAACAACTAGAAATAACTCAAAATGAACAAAATGAGTTAATATCAAATTTAAATCAGTTATTTGACAAAGAACAACAAAAAATAAGTGATGAACTGAAAGAAATGGATACTGAAATATCTAAAAACTTAGTTCCTGTGAAAGAAAATGCGAAAAATAATATTTTAGAAATAGATTCAAGAATTTCTGCAGCAGATACAAAAGAACTTGATTACATAATGCGTTTATTTGATCCACAAACCAGAATAGAAGAGAAACTGCAAATTTCAGCTGAAAAAACAAAATCTAATGAAAAATTAGAGAAAATTACTGAAGAATTCATAAGTTTTATTGATTTCTTATCAGATGATAAACCAAAGAAGATCGTAGAACCTCCTCCATCAACAAGAGTTACTTCCAGCCGAAGAAGAAAATCTCATAGTTCAAAATAATAATTTCTACATCAAAATTATATACTTTATATATTTGTTTTACCATTGTTAAATTGTTTGTAATTTATTTAGATCTTATCATTTTTTTTATCACATTAAATAAACTCCTTTTCCTTCGTAAAGTCTCTTATTCAATTTTTTTGATAGAGGTTCACTCAATCGAGCTCACTCAATATTGAGGCAGAAAAACGATAGTGAGACTTTACGTAGGAAAATGGGTTTATGCATTTTCCACCTTCTGTTTCAAAAATACTATCATTTCGGTAGATTCATTGTGTTAATGAATATCTTTATAAAGTTGCCAAAAAAAAGTGCGGAAATTAAAAACCGCAGTTTGAATACTTTCTGAGAGTCTGTTTGTCAGAAAGGATACATTTGTAAACTTTCTGACACTAAAATTTTTTTGGTCCTTTCAAAGTTTTTGACAATGTCAAAAAGTATACATTGGAGCTCTCAATTTTCCTCTCAAACGGCGTTTTTTAAAAAACGCTCAATTTTTCATCGACCTTAATATGAAGATAATATAAGAGTAGAAAATGATAATTAATGGTGTACTTACGCCCCTATAACACGGCCTTCAATTCAGATGTTTAAGGTTAATTTTCAACGACGCTTCAGTTGTCAAAAATTTGAATTAAAGTTAAGGGTGGCGGAAAGTGAAGTGAATGACCAAAAATAAAATGCTATTATCTCGTCATATTTTTGATATCTTTTGGGAAAAAATATATGGATACAAAACTCATTTGTAGTAGTATATGTGTGCCATAATTTCATTATCATATATGAAAGCTTTTGGTTTTCCCTCCTATGATAAATATGTGAATAATGCGTTTGATAAGGGTAAAAAACTTTAAATATCTCATGATTGGAGCTTTAAACACAAAATTTACTCAATAGAAAATATAGATAACAATAGCTTATATATATTTAAATATAAAGAAAGACTCCTTATCTTATATTGAAAGACTAGATACAAATCTAATTAAACTCTGAATGGGAGCAAATTGTAACGAAAAGTATCTGAAGTAATTGGTATTTATATGTTATTTATTCTCATACATTGATTTTATGCAAATTTGATAAGTAGTTCCAGATCTCATCACTTATTGCATCTTGGACGAATTTAATAGATACGTGTTTTGCTCAATAGAAAAGATGGATTTATGTTCCTATATTGCATACCTTAAGTATTTTTGATATTAATTCAATAACCAGAGACTAGATACAGTTGAAAATTCATTTTTTTTCATTCATTATTTCTCTACCAGATAAAGACCTCAGACTATACAAACTTTGTAGTAAAGACTTGTTTATATATACTATTTAGTTATGCTACATATTTATTTAGTTATTTTCACTTTTTGTTATTTGGTCACATCACTTTCCGCCACCCTTAAATGGGCGTAAGTGCAGCCTTAACGTAGCACATTTTTCTGTGTCCAGAAAATTTGACAGGTCCTGGCGGTTTTTGATTCAATTTTTGAAGAGTGTGCTTGATTTTGATAATAGAACGATAGACTATTCAAAATTCCCCAAAAATTCATCATGTGCAATATTTCAAATATAGGTGTTTCTATAGACAATTATTTTAGATAATACACAGGATTCTCAAGGAAATGTGGGACCCAGAAAAATGTCCTATGTTATCAAGATATCATGTAATTTGGTGGCGTTTACAATTTATCTGACTTTTGTCCGTATATGTCATAACATATTTAGAAGAGAATCAAAGAAATTGTAGCAGCTATCATGTAATCTTAAGGAGGTAAGTTTGAATAGTTTACATATTAAGGTTTATATAAGGGAGCAAAAGTTCTCCCTAGTGCAAATGATGTTTGGTCACAGTTTTATGGCGATGGCCCTGCCTCAGAACCAATCACAGGCACAAACGTCACGGCAGCATCGAACAAAGGTGAATGTTTCATATTTAACAGTATATTCATTGAAATTAGAACAAATAGTGCCATTTATTTTACGAATGCAAACAATAAATTTCTTAACTCCGATTGTTCATTTACTAACTGCAGCAGTAATACAGATGGTGGATCTATCTACTTTAACTGTAGTAGTTCCATTGTCCAATACAGAACATGTGGCTACAAATCAAAAACAAACTCTCAAGGTGGACATCATTCATATGTTTACTTAGTTTCTAAATCAAATAATAAAAATTATCTTTATGAAAGTTCGTTTTATTTATGCGGAAATTTAGAAAAATCTAATACAAATGCTATTAGTAATGGAAATATTGAAGTTAAATCAATCAACACAAGTTTCTGTAAAGCAGACTATGACTCAGGAATAAATCTAATGTTTCCAACAAGTCTAAGTAATGTAACATATTCATCATTTTGTAACACAACATCAACTTATGATATTTTAGGATTAACTGAGGGTAACTTTAATTTTAATTTTTGTAATGTTTTGAATAATGAACACCAATTTTCTCTTTTTGGAACATTATATGCATTATTATCAACTGTTCTTATTGATAATTGTTCATTTCTTGGAAATACAGGACCAGGTGCAGAATTTTATCTAGATATTATCTATTCAATTACAGTTAAAGATTCTTTCTGTGACAGAAAAGATAAAACATTTGACTCTGTCACACTTATTAATGTTCAAAATATATGTTCTATTTATCAACTATCTCACTTTTCGTCATATCTCTATGAAGCCGGAATCCATAGTTTTTGCACAAGGAATCCATTTATTACATATAATAAAAAAGTTTCCTATTATTACTGTTACACAGCTTCTATTTGTATTTTTTTACTAAACTCATAAAAAATTATAAAATTCCATAAAATTTCTCAAGGCTCTGGAATCATTTGAATGGTGTATATACTTAAAATGAGTGATTAATGAGTAGGAAAAATATTCCAATAGATTGCTTATATATCCCAATCTCTGCGAAAGGGTGTTTCAAATCTCCCTTTTACTATTTGGGACTCTGCTGATCAGACGATTATGGCAGTGATTCTGTTTCTTCAGGAGCTCTCTGGTTCTCATTTGTTAAATGGGAGCTCTACTTCTTTTCAATTATATTAATAGATTTTGTTTCTTAAAGAACAAATTCCAATTAAAATTATTCGGAATCACTCTAAATTGTTCCAATTATCTTCCAGCGTTGAATTGAGCCTGATTTACCTATTTTTCTGGAAGAATATTTTTCACAAATTGAATGTGAAATGATCTTTTTTGAGTGCTTATTGCCCTTTTAGGAAATCATAATACAACAATAACTCGTTGGTTGCCTAAGCATGTAATATATGATTATATAAAAAAGTATACATTAAAATTTTATTCTGTAAATAAAGTATCAATGACAGTTTGATTACTTCTTGTTTTTTCTGATAATTGTTCAGGTTTCAAAGAGAAACTTTGTTTATATTCTGGATTTTCTTTGACCAATTCGCAGATGAACAAAATGGAAATTAATTCGTCATCTAAAGCCATATCATCGAGATTATCTCCGCATTCATCTTTGTTTGCTAATAGATCGCAAATTAATTCAACTAACTCACCTTTATCTTCTACTTCTTGGTATCTAATATTCTCGAAACTTCTGTTCATCAAAGGATATAAAGAAGACAACAAAAATACAACCATTCTTGATTTCTTATTCTTTTCCATGAATTCAGCTGTTTGTTTGTATTCTACCTTTTCATCAAAGTAGTTCTTCTTCAAAACAATCAAAAAGATTTCTCCAATTTTGAAAAATTCTTTTTCATTTTCAAACTTTTTGATATAAACTTTCAAAAGATTAAGAAGTAATTCATCATAGTTAATATTTGTATTTGTTTCAAGTTCTTCCTTGATTCTGTTGAATGCTTCTGAATATCCAATAAATGTTTCCTGGTATTTGAGTCCATAATCAACAAAGTAATTAATAAATGAAATATTTTTGTCTTTTAATATTTCTTCAATGTAAGGGAATATTTTTTGAAATATACTATCATTTCTACATCTTTGTGCCATGCAAATCAACAAATCTTCTTTTTGTTGAAGGCTTCCGTGATCAAGAAAATGATCAAAAATAGAAAGTTTTTGGTCTACAGCGTAAAAAACAGGAATAAATGGAATCATAATTTCACTAATTTCTTCGTTATCAAATTTTTGAACAAACAAATCATTCAACAAAGAAATGATTGTCTTATTATTAGATTTTACAATTATTTTGATTTTACGATCATTTTCGGTTAGAATACTAATTAATTTCTCATTTCCTTTCAAAACTGCTTTGATAACACATGGAAAAACATCAAAAACAAAATTATCCAATTTAATTATATAAGAAAGAATTGTATTCGTCATTTCTACTGGTTCAATTTTCAGAGTTACAAGTCCTTCATCGCCATCATCAAAATTAATTTCATTTTCTACCCAATATTTCGGCTCAAAAAGAAGTAAAATTTCTATTAATAATTGGGCAATTTTTGCTTGTCTAAAAGTAGTTGCTGGTGGACTACAATATTTTTCATGATAAATGTGACATAACCGCAAAAACCTCTGAAAAGTCAATTGACTTCTCAAATCTTTTGAATTTTCAAATGATTTAATGAAAATTGACAGATAATCAGTCAAAAAGCAGTTTCTTTCATCTTCTTTTTGCCCTTTATATCCTTTGAAGATTAATCTTTTTTGTTGTTGGAACAGTTCATCGAAGAAAAGATTGATTGTTTCGGATGCTTTTTCTTCAATTAATTTTGACAAAAGCTGTTTTCCAACATCAATTAAATTCGAATCAAATAATAAATCAAAGCACATGACACCGAAGAATTTAATAATGATATCGGTCTTAGTATCATATAGCTGCTTGTAATCTTTGCTGTTTATAACTGATGTAATGAATTCATCTGCCATTTTTTCTGAGTTAATTTCAAAAGTAATTTCACACAATTCATCCAAAATTGACAAATCAAAGTCTTTTTGATGTTTCAAGTCATTCTTGATTTCTATGAACTTATTGTGCTTAGTACCACGATCATTAATATCATCTAAATGCTCCTTAAGATAATTCAGAATCAAATCACAATAACTATTAACAAATTTAGGAGATTTTGAATCAATTTCTTTGTAAATTTTGTTGAAAATTGATTTTCTTTCTGATTTTTCTTCTGATTTCAAACCATATTTCAAAAGATCCATTGATAAATTAACAATTCTTCTATTCGTTGAACTCTTAATAGCAGCAACTAATTCTCTAGAGAAATCTTTAATTCTTTCACATATTTCTGATTTTTCTCCTTTCATAATTAAATCGTAAATATCATCACAATGTTTATCTTCATCTCTTGTTCTTATATAACATTTAAGACAATAAGACAAAGCCAAATAAGGATCATTTTGGTTCATTACAAAATTATAGAACTCTTTTGTTAAAAATACATCATTATTTTGTTTGATTTCTTGGACTTTTTCTGATTTGATTTCGATTAAATCATCAACAGAATAAAACAAAATATAAGCAGTAAATGTCTCATAATCATCAACTCCTCCAAGTGTTGTTTCTCTAAATTCTCTTTCATTAATAAGAGAAATTGCTCCGTCATCCAATCTTACGAAACCTAAATCCTTTGTCCTTATAATAGAGATATAATGACCAAACAAAGCTTCTCCTTGATGACAAATAACTCCATGCAATTTATAATTCAAATTTGAATTTTTATCCAAAACATTCGAGTTGAATTCGAAAGGAAATTCGAATTTAGATTTAATCTTTCTGATTTCTCCTGTTTCAGTAAATTCGAATCTCTTCAAATGAATGATTAAATTATTTGATAAATCCTTAATTGACTTTTTTTGGATGGCAGTAATTTTTTGGTTATGATAATTATAACCACTAATTTCTTCTTGATTAAAAACGGAATTCATTGATTGTTCGAAGTTTCTGTAGCCAATGACAGTTAAATCAAGCATTAAATTATCTTCTACTCTTTGATTAACTTCAGTTCCTGTTGATTTATTAATAAAAGAAGTAACATTTTTGAAATTAAAATTTTTATCAGCATTTTTAATGTTTCCTATCAATAAAGTTAAAAATTCTTGTGCGTCTTGTTGTTGATCTGATAATTTTGAACCTGGAAATACATTACAAACATTACAGAAGAGATCTAACGATATCATTTGTTCAGTTTTCGCTTGCAACATATTAAAAACATTTTTTAATTCATTGTTTTGTTCGGAATTTCCGAAATCATTATTCAAAATGAAATTTCTAAATGGTTTGCAATAAAACAACTGTTGTAAAGAAGAATTCACGTAACAAATAGATCCTGGATTAATTATACCAACAACATATTGACATAATGTCTGTGATTCCTCAATATTTCCATGATTATTCCATTTTTTATATTCTAAATTTCCAATGTTTTCTACCAATTTTTGAAGATTTTCAGGATTTAGTTTGTAATCACTAATTAAATTCAAGATCTTAAGCTGATAAATATCCCTAACATAACTAAAAACAGAATAGATATCATCATAATACTTTTTGTCAATGATATTGTCACTTTTTTTGCGATTTTTGACACTTTTTCTTTTTTCCAAAATTTCCAAAACTTTTTCTTTGTTAGAATTCTCTGATTTCATGTAGAAAATCAAATCATCGATAGATGTATCATCATTAGACATGAATATTTCGAAGTATTTTGCGAAAACATTTGGATTTTCTCTGTAATATTTCAACAAAACATCAAATTCATTTGGAATTTTCGAAATAATCAACAAAAGATTATTTCTTGCCTTTTCATTGATTTTCTCTAAATATTGTAGTAAAAGATCTTGATCAGGTAACAGTGTTTCTTGGTTATTTCTTGATTTGTTGAACAAAATTTCCAAAATTTTTTCAGAATTTTCAAGATTTTGTTCTTTTGTTTCCGAAAACAAAGATTCAGCAAATTCCTTGAGATTATAACTGACATCGAACTGGTTGTCAACGCATTGTATCATATTATTAGTAATATCCAACCCGTCAATGATAAAATCAACAATTTGGTTGTATCCGCCATTTTCAAGGAAATTTTGAAGAAAATTCTTTTCTTTTATCAAATTCAAAACGTAATCAATATAATTCACGTCATTCTCGTCTTTCAATGTTTGTACAAATGTCGGCATATCATTCATCTGTTCAATCAATTCTTTGGGAGGCGGAGAAATCCTTAAAACATCAAAATTATTTGATTTTATGATTTCTTTCACGAATTTTATTGTTAAATAACTTTCTTCTTCATCATCAGAGATTTTACTTATACAAATAACATCATTCTTGTTCATACTCAATTCCTGAATAGTTTTCTTCGTTTTGATGTTTTTGTCATTCAATTTAAAACCGTAAATTCCATTGATTTTGAATGTCACTTTTAGAATTTGAATGAGATCATTAATTGTTGCAGAAGAAGGGATTGAAACTATTTTTGTTATTAAATCCGAACGTTTCTCGAGTCTTGCTGTTACAGGGATTTTCGGAATAGTATTTATTTTGTTGTATTTTATCAATAAATACTTGTTTTCATCGATTTTCAAATCAGAAACTTTTTGTTGCTCTTTTATCAACTGATTATCATAAAACAAAGTAAATTCATTGACAGGAAGTCCTTCTAATATAGAGAAATATGAATATAACTCATTAATTTTCCAATTTTTGTTGATTTCTAACTCATTAAATCCGAAATCTGATTGAACATTAACATATAATGATGATTTGTCGCCTTCAAGCTCTTTTGATGATGATTCCCCGTATTTGTTGCCATCAGAGATGATTTGTGGAATAATTCTTAAAATTTTTTCCCTGATTTTGAAAGAATTCTCATATTTAATGAAATCATTCATCAGTTCCGTGATAATTGTCTGCTTATCATATGTTATCCTGTATGAAGCTAACAATGACTCAATTTCTTCATCACTTAACATGATATTTTCCGAAATAATCTTGAATTGATGGAATTCTTCTGCAATTTGCTTCCTTTTCTCAAGATCGCATGCAACATTGGATATAAGTTGTGAAATAATCAATATGGCATCCGTTTCATATGGTTTTTTGATGGATTCTATTTTGGATAATAATAATTTGCAAACTTCTGAATCGAAAGCCTTCGGATTGCTTTTGTAGGACATGCTGATGGATTTCCATGGAATATTTTCGGGATTTTCGTTGATTTGGAAAATAAATTTTATTTTATTCGCCATTTCTTCTGAATTTGATGTTCCGAGCTTGTTCATCATGTTTGTAATCATTTGATCACGCGTTCTGTCATCAAATTTGCTAAAAAGTTTGGATAATTTTTCATTATCAAATTTATTTGAAATTTTCATCAAATAAGGGATCATTTTTTCTCTGAATTTCTTTCTATACTTGCTTTCACACACTTCTTCCCAAAATGGAGTGTCTGTAAAGTCAATTCCGAAATCTATTAATTCAATGAAGGAATTTATGTAATCATAAGCTTCAAATTCATTGTCATGGACACATTCATATAGTTTGTTAGCAAACATATGAAGAATTTCATGATAATTTGGATATTTGGCAAAATTAATGAAATCTAAGACGCAATCTTCATCGAAATTATATAGATCATCAATGAATGATATGCAAAGGTTAAATACTAAGTCATTCTGCTCTTTGGTAATAAAAATCGTGATATTTTTGAGTAAAGTGAAAATTGATGAGTAAACTGAGTTGATTTTAGGTCCAACATCTTCAAATGCGTAACTTATTACAGAAAGAAACACATTGTCGATAAAATACTGTACATTTGCCTGATAACTTTCTTGATTTTTCGAATTACATGTTGTTAACGGGTCCAATATCAATAGAATGTGTTTTGACTGCGTAGAATATTCGCCAATGAGCATTTGATAGTATAAATCCAAGAAAGACCTAAATATTGACTCGTAATTTTTGTTTGAAACGTTGTACTTCTGTACCAGCGCTTCGATTATTGCGGGGAGATTGTTATTGAAGAACATTGTGATAGATTCTTTCGTTATGAAATCAGATGCAAACAAAACATTAACTAACTGTTCACAATCATGGCATAGATTCTTGATATTCTTGTTGTCAATAATGCATTCATAAAAATATTCACTCCATTTAATCAAATCTTCTTTGGGGCTTGGAATAAATCTCTTCTTTCCCATTTTGAAGTGAAAAAAAATTGTTGGAAAATTTTATGGAAAAATTCCATTGACTTTAAACTTAAATCCTAAAATTTACCATCAAGAAAAACTATTTTAAAAGCATGTCTTATTTAATTCTGAAGAAACTTTACAAAAAATTTACAAAGTTTTCTATGCAAGAATTTTCTTTCTTCCGAAATAGCTCTATTTCGTTTCTAAATTCTTGGCCAAGAACAAATTGATGATAAAAATCATTATCACATTCATCAATTCGATATATTTCTCTCTATTTTCCACAATGAGTGGGAAGATTTCTACGACTCTTCGATTAGTTACAAATCATACAGAAAGAAACACGAAGCCCTTACTGTTACAAGAAAAGGCAGCTACTATGTCTCTCTTTGTCTCTTTGTTCACCTTAATGAGACAGGTGCAGTTCGTATCGATGACCAAACAGGGCTCAATCTCAAATTCCTCATTGATACAAGCTCATTTGACAAATGCATGCATAAGAGCGAACAAGGTGGCTCTTTATACGTAAGTTGTTCTGAATGTGTTCAAGACCGAATCTGCAGTTTTGGCTCTAACACAATCAGTAAAATGGGTGCATATTGTTATATTGGGGTTTCAAATACACTTTCATTTAAGAATTATCTCCTTGATTCAACAATTACTTCAAGTGGTGATGAAAATACAAAAGATAATGATAATATTTGGTCATGGTTTGGCGAAATGAATATTAAATCAATCAATATTTCTTATTCAAAACTTAATTACGAAAGTATCTACAATGTTTATTGTAGTTCTAACTCAAACGTAACACTTTCGACATTTTCAAACAACACAAGCACAAGTACAAATAATGTTGGAGTATATCTTGAAGGAACATCTGATTCACTAGAAATTAAAATTCTTTTTTGTAATTATTTCGAAAATAAATGTGATGACTTAATTACCAGTCGTACTATTGACACACATATTAATAATTGCAGTTTTAATAACAATAACATCAAATTCAAGTTAAAAGATGTTATTTTGACATTTCAGATCCTAGTAAAAGTGGAAATGTCATAATAACAGAGAAAGCAGGTTCAATTTATCCAGAAAATCATCATTTGTCCACAGGTTTATGCTTTGCTAAAATAAAACTTGAATTTCCAAAAGAAAATAAGACAAAAGCAGAAGAAATCAAAGTTAACAATAAACGAAATAATAAATTTAATTTCTTAGTTTGTCTTTTTTGTCTTATTCTTAAATAAATTTTGAGAAAATTGCTTGATTTAATGATTTGTAGAAACTAGAATTGAAATAGTTGTGAAACTTTTTACGGGCTTATAATTATGCCCCTCTGAATGAAGGAAGCTCCAACTCTAAAATTCTATTTGCCATCATATTGAGAAAAATCTTCTCCAACTCTAAAATTCAGTTTGGAGACACTTTACAAATTGTAAACTTCAAATTGACAAAATATACATATCAATATCAGTCATATTCATTTGTTTTCATGCCTCAAATTAAAGAGAGTATCTGTAGTTTTGGCTCTAATGTAGTCAAATAAGGCACTTATTATTCATTTACAACTTTAGACGAACCTTCATATAAGAACTATCTCCTTGATCCAACAATTACTTCAAGTGATGAAGGAAATCAAAAAGAAAACGATAATATTAAATGCAGAATGGCGTAATGTATATAAAATCAATCAATGTTCTAACTCAAATGTAGCATATTCAACTTCATCTGACTATGTCTATGAAGTTGTGAAATCAGATGCAAACAAAACATAAACTAATTGTTCACAATCCTAGCATAGATTCTTGATATTTCTGTTGTCAATAATGCATCCATAAACATGTTCACTCCATTTAATCAAATCTACTGCGAGACTTCTTTCTCAATTTAACCGAGGAAAAAAAATCTGTTTCACTTTTTCAATTCCACTCAAATTTTGTGAAGCATTCAAAAATAATCCCAGATAATTTTATACTTATTTTTGAAGGAAATTAAGACTAGAAATTATATCAGGCGATTTCAGAGAATTTTTGTTAATTCTGATACTTTACAAAAATTTACAAAGTTTTCAATGCAAGAATTTTCTTTTTTTCATAAATAGGTCCATATCGTTTCTAGACTCTTGACCAATAACAAATTGACGATAAAAATGATTAATACATTCATCCATTCGATATTTTCCTCTCTATTTCCCATAATGAATGGGAAGACTTTTACGAGTCTTCAATTGATTTCAAAACATACAGAAAGGAGCGCGAAAACATCAATAATACAACAGAAAACAGCTATTACGTCTCTCTTTGTCTCTTTGTTCACCTTAATGAGACAGGCGCAGTTCGTATTACCGTTGAAACAGGTAATAATCTCAAATTCCTCATTGACACCAGCTCATTTGACAATTGTATGCATAAAAGCGAAGAAGGTGGCTCTTTGTTCATAAGTTGTTCTAAAGGCGAGTGTATTCAAGACAGAATATGCAGTTTTGGCTCTAACATAGACAATAAAATGGGTGCTTATTGTTCGATTAAAGTTTCAGAAGAATCTCCATTTAAGAATTATCTCCTTGATTCAACAATTACTTCAAGTGGAGAAGAAAATTCAAAAGGACGCAATAATATTTATTTGATAAATGGTAAATAAAAATGAAATCAATCAATATTTCATATTCAAAACTTTTATTCACTAGTATCTACACCATTTATTGTACTTCAAACTCAAACGTAACACTTTCAACATTTTCAAATAATACAAATGCAGGGAATTTATATGAAGCATATCATGCAGGATCATCTGATTCACTTGAATTTAAAATCTTTTTTTGTAATTACTACGAAAATGAATGCGATTACTTTATTGCCTGTTTTTATAATCTCTATATTAATAACTGCAGTTTTAATAAAAATAACATCAATGGTAGGTATTTTGATGCAAACATTCAAATTAAAGTTAAAGGATGTTATTTTGATATATCGGATCCTGGCACACTTGGAAATGTCGAAATAACAGAGAATGTAAGTTCAATTTATCCAGAAAATTATCATTTGTCTTCTTATAAATGTAATGCAAAGCTAAAACTTAAAATTTCAAAACAAAAAGAAGAAAAATTTAATAAACGAAATAATAAATTTAATATCATGTTTTGTATTTTTTTTGACTAATTAGCAATTGCTAAATGAATATATTCAATTTCTTACTTTCAGAAACATTTGAGTCTTTCTAAAAAAGGATCAATTTTAGAAAAAGGAAATTATACTTAATTCTTAATATTCCATACAAATATGATCATAAAAACATCAATATTACTGCTGAAGACAACTATTATCTCTCTATTTGTCAATTTATTTGCCTCATTGAGACAGGTGGAGTTCGTATCACAGGCGAAACATTCATCATTCCTCTTATATTCCTCTTTTATGTATATAAGCGAAGTGGCAGTTCTTTAATCGTAAGTATTACTTTATTAATGGCGCGAATATTCAAGACATTATATGCATTTTTGACTCTAACACGGTCAAACAAGGAGCTTATTGCTTTATTGGAGTTTCATGTGAATTTAAGAATTAGCTCCTTGATGGGGTGAAGAAAATCCAAAATGTAGATGTGAAATAAATATGAAATCAATCAATTATTTCATATTCAAACTCAAACGTAACACTTTCAACATTTTCGAACAACACAACTACAGAAGGTCAGGTAAGTGGGGCTTCCAGGCACTTCGTGCCCTCTAGCCCCTAAAAAACCTAGAGGAGAACTAAAAAAATTATATAGTAAAAAATTAAAGTTTTTATTCGATAAGAACGACATCGCTATCGTTTTCTTCTTCCTCCTCCTCTTCTTCATAGTCAGTATCTGATGGCTCTTTGTCAGCCACATGACCAGCAACAAATATTGAGACAAATTGTTTCTTTGGTTTTGTTAGCAGGAACTTTTGATGGTCGTAGAACACGAATTCTACATTTTGAAAATGTTGTGCTGAGTATTCTGTGAAATGGGAAATTGGAATTGGTTCTCCCATGCCAAAACCAGCAATGGATGCGAACAAAACATCGTCTTCGACTCTTGCAGGTTTGTCAATTGCAACAGTAGTTATTATGTGAGGTTTTCCTTCACATCCTGCAAGAGATTGTACATGATAGATTGCTTTTTCTTCTCCCTCAGGAACTGAGAGTGTGAAATGGAATGAGAGTTCTCCATATTCATTTGCTTCTTCGTAATAGTTGTATGTTGTAGGATACACCAATTGAAATTTTCCTATTCTTGTTTCCCTCAGGTGTTGTCTATATTGCTTGGGAAAACATAAAATAAATTGCTCTATAGCTTGTGTTGCTATTAGATTAGTTGTAACTGGTAATTTTGAGGCGAAAAGGTCTACAAGAACACCGGGATTTTTTATGTCGTTTTCAATTGGTTTAAGAGATTCTATGACTTTGTTAAACATTTCACTATAATCTGAGTTGTCTTCGACCCCCCAATTGTTAAGAAGTTTATACAACAATTTCAGTCTTTTCATGGCGTATTTTCTTTGAATGGATTCGGGTAGCGAGAGGTTACAGTCGTCGCTTTGTGTTTCGTTACTCGAATATTGTTCAAGAGAAATTAAATCTTGAAATTGTGCTCTTGTTAACATACTTGTAGTTTGAGAGACTATATCTTGTTCTATTGGTTGTACATCTGTTTCAGATGTTTCTGTTGTGTTTTGAGAAGAAGAAGACTCAAATTGTTGGACAATTTGTCTTGAATTGTAAAACTATGTGAAACTTGTTCTGGTGCTGTTTGGACAACTGTTTCAGATGTTTCTGTTGTGTTTTGAGAAGAAGAACTCAAATTGTTGGACAATTTGTCTTGAATTGTATGAGGAGGTTGCTTTGGTATTATAGGAGGTCGTTACCTGAGATGGGCGACCAGAGCCCAAAGGCAAAAAGGACATGGGAAATTTACAACATACTAGGTGAACATGAGGCAAAGATGCAACAACTTGAAGTAGAGGGCAAGTTACCAAAAGCGACACCAAAGAAGAAGAGAAGAGTAGAACAAAGTGAAAGTAGTGAAGAAGTAACTTCATCTAGTGAAAGTAGTGGCAATGAAGGAAAAAGAAGAGCTAAAGATTCAGTTAAAAACTCAGTCAGGAAGAAAGTAAAGCTTGGTCCGAGTGGGTTTTATTATGACATATAAATCCAACTATTCTATATTTTTACCCATATGAAATGTACGCCGCTCAGAATATAACGCCAACAGTTTTGGATGCCATGAACGGAAATGTTTCCGAATGGTATAACGAATGCGACAATGCCATTAGAAGGTCAGAAATAGTTCCTGGAACTTACGAATATACAACTGCTGTTTCTTATGGAAACGTAGGTGAGTTTGGAGAGGGTTCTTCAACAACAGTAGATATTGCTTGCGACAGGTTTCATATTATTTCTATTGACAACTCATTCTTATACATGGAACAAGACATTGAAATAAAACCTTCTGCCAAGTTGTCTGACAAGAAAGGTTGCAATGGAATTTTCTATGTCGGATACCAATATGCTCCAGAAGTTTTCATGGGATATAAGATATATTATAACTCTGACTTAGTTCAAACAGTAACATGGGCAAACTATGAATGGTTCGCTTTGAGAAACTCAGTACAACCACAAGCTAGAGAACAAACAGACCAGTATGCAACTATTGAGAAAATAAGAAGACTTGACCCTAACGTTCCAGGAGTTTATGTTAACCTTTCTGGACAAACTGCAGCAGCAGTAACCAAAGTAAAACTGAAACTTAGAGTTCCTTTGTCATCTTTCCTCATCTTCAGGTTTTTAAGATACTTGCCAAACTGGGCAGGAAAAATTTCTATCGAACTTACTCCAAGCAAAAATAACTTAGTCATTGCACCAACACAAGACCCATTCACTATTACAGATACAGCTGGTGGAGCTGCCAGCATACCATTTGGAAAATGGTGCAAAGAGAAAGTTGACTTAGACTTTGGTTTCTCAAACCTCAACACTGAAGTAAACTACTACTTCTCAGGAACAGCAGACAACAATACTGCTTGGGACACAGTTAAGTTTACATGCGAAAAGTTTGAATGCAAGAGAATAGAAAGCAGACTTGCAGTCTATATGTTGGACCCAGATATTTCAAATGCTTTAGCTGCCAAATATATTGCAGTTCCACTTATGTTCCCTATACACCAAATATCTGTCAAAGACTTTGCAGGTGAAGTTGGAAACCAAAATCCAGGAGCCGCAGGTGCAAGAACAGATATTGCTTTAACAACTGCAATGAAACATGCAGATACTATGTTTGTACTGTTCAGACGAACTATAAATGACTATTCTTGTTTCTACAACCCTGGTATTAAATATCATATAAACATAGATGGCAAATATTATCCAAGAGAAGAATATTCTACAGTTGAGGATATGAGGTCATACAACTTGACATTAGATGCTATGAACTTTAACAACAACTTCACAACAACCATTAACCCTGAAATGCAAAATTCTATTATGCCATATGTGAAAGTATGGACTCATACAGGAGGTCAAAAAACTCAATATACAAATGGAGACCGTTCAAACTTTTGGCTTGGCATTCCATTTGCTGACTCAGAAGACTTTATGGGTGGTATTTCAACTGTTGGTACTGTACAAATACAATATACTGGTGACAGAGACGGTCCAGATGAATTGAGAGCAAAGAAGTTTACAAAACCAATAGCACTTTTCACGGAAGATGCTCTTTTGAAGATTCGTTCGATGAAACCTGCTGGGGCTCCTCAGATTGGCATAACGACAGCTTCCATCGAGCAGATTTTGGCAGCAGGTCAGTAAGTTGTTCTTGAACTGACTTCTCTCCGTCAAATATTGACAGTACGCCAGTTTTGACATAATATTGTATTATAAACTTTCCTTTAGTAATATCGGTCAGTTTTGTTGTTATATTTTTGTCTGCTTCAAGAACTTTCACTATTTCAGTTATACCAACTTTCTTTGCTTTATGAAAATATTTAGGTTCAGCAAAGACTGCTATTCTATAACATTTTCCATTGTTTGTGTAAAGAACTATTCTGTCAATGTATTTGTATTGTTTGTGAGTATAAACTTTGTTCTGCTTCAATTCAATAAGATATCCGAATACGTCCATCTTTTTATTCTAAGTAAAATGTCATTTCCGAAAAATAGAAGCATAAATTGTAACTTTCAGAAGAAGGAACTAAATTTATTCGTAAACATAAGTTACAATTTATTGATAATGAAGAATACCCCTGTATCTTATTTTCACCACCTTTAGATTCCGAAAAATTCAAAAAAGCACTAAAAAACGTGACATATGCAACTAATACGATTAAAAAAGAAGATCATGATATTTACACAAATTATTATTTAAATAAATGCACAGGTGTTGATAAAGTTTTTGATTTATTAGATAAAATATCAAAAGAAACCATTGGAACATAAAATTTTATGTGATTGCGGTTTCATTGTTGAAGATACTAATAATGTTTCATATGAAAGAACAGCACCGAAGGAAGACGAAGTGAAAGGTCTATACCATTCGTTATTAAGAATATTAAAAGATATGAAAACGTATAAGCATTATATTTATTCATTTATTTCAGAAAAAATGGAAGCAACCCATAAAACATTTCTTATCATTTTATAGCTATTCATACATTCCTTTTCAAAGTTGTGAAATTAAATAAGACAGGAATTAGATTTAATGTATCAGGGTACGCATTCTTGAGTAAATTAAAATGTATTCGTCACGTCGCAGATGATAAAAATTTATGTGTTCTTAATTCATTTTATGGGCTTTAAAAAATAAACTTTATTTTTATTTATTTTTTTATTCTTACATAAATGAACAAAAACGGAACCGCTAAAATGAATGATAATCAAATTAGAGCAGAAGGTAGAAGGTTATTTAAACGCTTCTATAACATTCCTGATGGTGCTAATCCTAAAACTCGTAGAAGCTATTTAAATGAAGCAATAGATGCATATGAAGGGTTTGACATTTCATCAGAAAGTGAGAGATTAGCGAAGAATGTTAAATGTTAATATTGATTTCTATTATTGTGATCCTCAACCAGAAGACGTGGACATAACATAAGGTAGACTTTCATTAGTGGAATCAATAATGATAGATCCAGAATTTGAAACAGTAAATATTTATTAACACAGAGTCCATGTGGAAAACTTCACGCTGACAGAATAACAGACGTTGAAGCACTCACGGCTATAAAGTTTGTCCATTTTGTAAAGAAGAAGTTTATTCTATCCGTGATGATCCAGAAAGGAAAAACCAAAGAAGATTTTTAAAGCATTGTGAGAAATGTAAAGAAAATAATGGAAGATTAATTCAAGACGTTCAGTTGCAAAAGACACAGCAACCATATGCACCACATATTACGAAACAGAAGATATATCATGGTTATTAGCTCACAATTTGCAGAAATATTATAAACCGACAAGATATTATATTACTTTTGACTTTGAAACATTAGAGACTAAAGAAGAATTACAACTTTCTGAGTGTGCAACTTTGAATGCTTACTTAAAACCATTCATGGTATCATCAACGGTTAAATTAAAACGATAAAACATATACGAGGAATTTTTGCTTAACTTCGAGTGATTCTTTTGTTTCTGATTGGATTGAGTTTTTTATTTTCAACCTGTTCATTAGTTGTAATCAAATATGAGTCAATACAATGAATTATTGAAGTCGCAAACGGCGGGGACTTTGTCTCATACATTAAATGAAAACAGAAGGAAGCATTTAAAGAACTTCTAGATGAGGAATTCAATAAAGTGAATATCATAGGTTTTAATTCGGGAAAGTTTGATTTAAATTTAATTCTTCGTGATTTAAACACTGCAAAATGGAAAATAAAATCAATGCTGGGTTCATCTTCACAATTTAAGCAAATCATTGTAAAGAAAACAAACGTTCCATATGAATTGAGATTTATTGACATCAGAAATTATATAGCGGGTGGGACATTAGACCAATTCATTCGAGATTTCGGAAACAATAAATCACGTGTTAAATCCTTTTTCCCTTATCAATTTATCACATGGGAAAATTACGAAGAAGAATTATATAAAGAGGAACCATTCACGAAAGATTCATTTTATTCAGCATTAACCCAAGAAACTATATCAGATAGTGATTATCAAATATATCTCAATGATGCTAAAAATTTAAGAATAGATTAGAATATTTTATTCATTATTGCAATAAAGATGTTGAAATTATGATTGACCCAATCGATAAAATTATTGAAGAAACATTTGTTTATAAAATTGACACGCTTCATAATCTTTCTTTATCATCGAATGCTTCAATGATTCGTTACGCTTTAGCATATAAAGACTTTAATCCTAATGAAAAATATCCTGAGGAAGAGATAGAATCAAGTTTTGAATTAACGAAAAAGTATTGGAAATATAAAATTGAATCATATAAGAAACAGGATGAAAAAGCAGAAAGGAATACTAAAAATATTGTTTCAATGGATGATTTTCAATACTATCACGATTTAATCCTTTCATCTAAATGCAAAATGTGTGGTAAAGCGTTTACATATGCAAATAAACCAACATTGGATAGAATCGATAATGAAAAACCACATACCAAAGAAAATTGTCAGTTAATGTGTTGTTATTGCAATGTCGTAAAATCAAATAAAGATGAAGATGTTCAACGTTTAAGAATCAATTTAAGAAATTATGCATTAAAAAATAATTTACCAATGACTCTAGATTCAGTTGAAGCTTATCACATTCTCCGTAATGGAATTACTGGTGGTTTATCAAATGTTCAACATAGAGTAAATCTTAAAGGAATCACGCACATTAATAAACTTGCATATAATCCAGAAACTAAAACTGTATCAAATGAGGACACTTCCAACATCATGACTCATTTCGTTGGTGTTGATTTTAATTCATTATATCCTTCATCATTTTCATCTAATCCTCATGATTTCATTCAATATACTGACCATAAAATGTATATGCCGGGAAGATTGAATGGTGTTATCATTTGTGATACAGCAACAAAGAAAGCAAAAGCACTGGGAATAATTAAGAAGAAAAATACTTTATTCGTTGCTGAAGTAAAGGGTCACATTGATGAAAAATACATTAATGATTACATAAACTTTTTACCGATAATAAGAAACTTAGATATTATCACAGATGAAAAAACAATTGGCAGTTTTATGTATAATTACATGAAATCAAACAATCTACCGGTTGACCAGAAACAGAGGAAATTAACTCAGTTAGCATCAACATACAACCAATATCAACCATTTTCTTCTTATTATCTTTGGTATCTAATAGACAGATTTCATTTTATCATTGATGACATTCAATCAATTTTAACATTTACTAAAAACACTTGTTTTAATGAATTTGCGAACAAATTTATGAACGAAAGACAAAAGGCTGAATTAGAAGGAAATAAAGGAAAAAGTTTATTTTGCAAGATTTCACTTAATGGATCATATGGTTACGATGCAATGAATACACAAAATTACGCAAAGACTAAAATAATGAATGCACAGAAGGCACGCGTTGCATGTATGTCAAATAAGTTTAAAAACATAAGAGAAATAGGTGAAGATACATATCAAGTGATGCTTAAAGATAGATTTTATAGATGTGATACATGTTTACAAGAGGCATTCTTCACTTTAGATAATGCTAAATACTGGTATTTGGTTTTCATTTATGATTTTGTGTATAAATGCATGAATGTTAATCGTTTTCATTTCATTGAAGGTGATACTGATTCATCTTATTGGGCAATCGCTGGCGACCCAAATCTTCCTAACACTCAAGCATTTCAAGCAATTGTTACCGATAAACAATTTTATGATAAAAACATTTTCAAATTCGCACCATTTGATTTCTTCTGTTTTGATGAGAAATTTAAACCTAAATTAAAGAATAAAGCTGAAGGAAAAGCACATGAGAAGAAGTTATTGGGTTTAGCAATTGAGAAACAAGGTGATAACATGGTTGCTTTATGCCCTAAGTGTTATACATCATTCAACGGTTCAATTGATGGAAGTGATTTTAAAAAGATTGCACAAAAAATGAAAGGTGTTAGTTTACGACAAAATAAACAATTAACACCTAAAAATTATTTGGATATAATAAATGATAAAGTGATATTTGATGGTCAGAATATTAATTTACAACTTAAAAACGGGTCAATGACTCGCTTAACAATCGGTAAGACTGCATTAACAGGAGCACACACTAAGGCTGTATGTTGTGAAAATGGATGTTGTATGCCATTTATTTAATACAATTTAAAATTTTATTTTTAATAAAATGCCACAGAAGAGACAAAAGGAACCGTAAATAATGGTTTTGATACTATGATTCAAAGAGGTGGGCACCCTTAAACATTTATTTTATTTTTATATAAATGGATAACACAGATTTAAAAAATTTAATTTATGATTTAGTACTTAATCAAAATTTTCTTAGTTATTATGAATTAAAATCATATCTCCAAAAATATAATAATAATATAACGGGTGATGATATGGAATATTATTATCCATATTATAAAAATGAAATTTTGAAATATCATGATAGAATAATTTCTGAAATTAAAGACAAAATTAAAAATAATGAATATACAAAGGAAAAAACTAAATCACAACTTAAACAATTGAAAGATTTCAAAAATAAAGTATTAACAGAAGAAGATATTGATGAATTATATAATTTATATAATCCTGAGCCGCAAAAAACAAAGGTGCAAAACGCCCAGGTCATTCAGACCATAAATGAAGCACAAGCTTTAATTTATGATTCATTAGTTAAACCATATTCAGCCCGACTTTTAAATGAAGATCAACTTTTGGAATTCATCCTTCAACATAAACTCGAAGCGGGAAAGTATATCAAACCTTTATATACAGCATATTTAAAACAAATGAATAGAATACATCCAGAATTAATGAAGGGGGGAATGAAATCCAAAATCAAAGCAGATAAAATTAAACCACTTGCAACACCAAAACCTCCAACGACAGTACCTCCAACGACAGTACCTCCTCCTCCTTCAGTTAATCCTTCATCATTCACTTTATTATATCCATTTCAAACATTAAAGAAGCAAAAAGATTTTAAAAAGGATTTCAAGATATTAAATAAACCAATTGACCCGAAAATTCAACCGTTAAAGGAAAAATTTAGTCGCCCTTCATTTGCTCCATATCCATATTCATACGAAATCGATCATCTGGAATATTCAAAAGGAAACGTTACTTATTTATTTGCCATTAACATTAACACTAGATATTTATATTGCATTCCGGTGAAAGGGAAAACAGAACAGGAAACAAGAAGAGCTATTCAATACTTACTAGATCATGAAAGAGTAGATAATATCAGGGGTGATGGTGATAAAGGATTTCAGGCAGCTATGGCTCATTATTTCCCACAAATTAATTTTTTCTTTTCATCTTCTCCATATACGTTTCATAATAAAATAGTTGATGCGGTAATGAGAACTCTTAGAGATGCGTTAGGGGTTAACGGTCAGATATACTGGGATGGAAATCATGACTCCATCATACAACAGTTAGTATATTATTACAATAATACATGGCATAGAACTATAAACATGAAACCAGTGGAAATGAAAAATGATATTTCAAAAGAATGGGAATATATTAGAAAGCAAATGGAAAGGTTAAATGATGTTAAACGTGAACAAATTAATTCGGGGCTCATGAATTTTAAACAAGGGGATAAAGTTTTGATTCATCTCGATTATGGAAAAACTGATAAATCAATGACAAAAAGAAGACGAAGATTTGACACAATAGCTGAATTTGTTAGATATATTAACGGCAATGCATTAGTTGAAGTTGACAATAAATTAATAGAAATTCCGATTTATTTTATTACTCCATTATATTTAAATAATATTTAATTTTTTTATTTCGTAAGAAATGAGTGACAACAAAGCAGCCAAGAGTCCAGACAATGAATATAAAAAGAAACTAAACAGAATTAAATCAAAAATATGCTATTACAAAAAGAAGCCGCAATGCGGTGGGGCTGATGCCCATAAAACTAAAGTAATTGAAAACGATAAAGAGAGGAAAGAAATAATCGAAAAATTAGAAACTTACCGTTCAATCCTTAAACTGAGTGAAGCAAAAATAAAAGAATTTAATAGAATAAATAAATTGATTGGAAGAGATGAATTTAATAAAGATGAATTTTTAAACTCAATCCAAAATTAATTTTTATTCCTCTTCCCGAACCCTTCTGGGTTCTTCTTTCCATCATTACTGCATAACCGAATCTTCTCGGTTTTTGTGGTTTGTTGTTTTTAATTCGTTCTTGCATCATTTTTATCATTTCCTCCCTTGTTATGATTCGTGGTAAATTTTGAGCTTGTGGGGTATCCATTACTTCATTACCTAATTAATTACAGACATAAAATATATTTAGTTCATTCGGTAAGTCTTGACCCAAAGGTCTGGGCTCAAGCACATTCATTGAACGCGAAACCATGCATAAACTGTCATATAAGGTGGCATGTAATCTTCACCCGAGCCTGTTGGATTTGTTGTGAAAGTGTGTGAATGATTTCCTCCTGGTTCAGTTGGTCGAAAAATCTTTTTTGCTGCATTGTTATAAGCTGGAGATAAAACATCATGACCGGCTTCATAGTCTGAGTTGTATAATGGGTGGTCTCTTAATGAGTGTATATGGTCGCCAGAAAAGTTTGTCGTTCCTGTATGAGTGTGCGGTGGAAGGTTTGCTTCTTTAATTTTCTTTGAACCACCGGTTTGTTTTGAACTATTAGCACAGTAGAGGAAACGATCGGTTATTTGTTGCCATGTACCGAAACCGAATACATCAGCTGGATTTGTTGAATTCATTGATGTATATATTGAACCAATGGGGTAAATCATCTCAAGAATTGTATTTAATCCATTATGAATATTGAATTTATTATATAATATTGAAACTGGGTGAGTATTTAAAACTGGTCTTGTTATCAATATTAACGTATTATTTTTGAAAATTGCTTTTCTAACATCTTGAAATTTTGTGATTTCAGACCAATTTCTTCCATCACTACTGATATTTACTAAATCACCACATCCTAAAGCGATGAAATACCCATCCATATACAATAAATTAGTAAATCTATAATTTCGAGTAAGTTTTGGAGTGAATGAATAAACCAATTCCCAATTTGATAAATCCTGTGATAAATAAATATGTCTGTTATAACTTACAGGATATGAATAGACCATTCCACCTGAAACGAGAACATAAACATTTGATCCATAACATAAAGCTTCAATGTCTCCATCAGCTTGAAAAATTTGTTCAAATTGACCTTGTGGTATTGAAGATGATCTATAAATTTTATCATTTTGTAGGATAAAATACATGTTGTTAATGTAATACCACTTACTTGTATAATCAATTTTCAAATCTGATGACATCATACTAAACATATAATAATTTATCCCATCCTCACTAATGAAAATTTGATTGACTTCATAAATTAGTACCCATTTATTATTAACACATCTAATAGGATTATTTGGATATTTAAATTTAGCATCTTGATTTAAATTACATTTGAACCATTGGATACAATCGAATGAATAACAAGGGCAAAAATCATCTCCAACCGTTATCATTCCCATAAATTTACCGTTATTATATTCAACATATAAAATTCTTGGATTAATGATTGGCTTTCGTGTATCAGGATTCCAAACAGATGGAGTAAATGATTCATAGTTTTTAAAATCATTTGTTTTAAAATAATAAAGCACTCCAGCTGTATAAAATAAATACATGGTCACTCCATCGAAACATATCCATTCAAAAGAATCTATATCAAAGGTTTTATCTGATGATTTCATAAAATTTAAAAATGGTGGAGTAAAATAGACCTCTGATTGTTTTATTTCTTCATTAACAAATGATATATCAGCTTTCTTTGCTAACTCAGTATTAATGAATGAAATAACTTTTTCCTTATCCACCTTCTTCATTAACTCATTGTTAACATATGTTTTATCTGCTTTAAGGTCTAAACATCCTGAAACCCATTCTGTATCAGCTTTAACTTTAAAAGTCTCCAATGTCCATCATGATACCATTCAACCTTTTCTTTAATTTCATTATCTTTTTCATCAACATAAACCAAATTTGCCTTCTTATTTAATTCAGTATTAACTTTTTCCTTATCCACCTTCTTCATTAACTCATTGTTAACATATGTTTTATCTGCTTTAAGGTCTAAACATCCTGAAACCCATTCTGTATCAGCTTTAACTTTAAAAGTCTCCAATGTCCATTCATGATACCATTCAACCTTTTCTTTAATTTCATTGTCTTTTTCATCAACATAAACCAAATTTGCCTTCTTATTTAATTCAGTATTAACGTATTCCTTATCCACCTTCTTTATTAACTCACTATCCACATATTCCTTATCCACCTTCTTCATTATGTCATTTAGGAAACCTTCTATGAATTCCTCATTTAAATTAAATCTTCCAATCTTCAAAACTTTAGGAAATGCATTTAATGCGTAATATCTCTGTTCTTCTGGTGGAATTGATGTTATATCATCCGTTATACCTTTAATTTTAGAATTCATAAATAAAATTTCTTTTATGTTTGATATCACTGCACCACCTTTGCAAACGAATTCGAAATGGTCATTTTTCAATACTATCTCCAAATCTCCATATTTCAACCTTTGCGTTTGTTCTGCCGTCTTTGAATTATATGCATATATGGCGTATGTAATGGTCTGAAGGACCTGGGCGCTTTGCGCCTTAAGTTGCTGTTGTTTAATCATTTATTACGATTTAAAAATAAATATTTAATCCGTTATCTCATCAGCTATTTTCTCTATTTGAAATTTCCATAATATTTCATTCATAAATTCTAAATCACAATCAAATAGGTCAGTTATTCTAAATTTAATATTTGATAAATCTTTTGAATGAAGAATAAATGAATTCCCGGATAATTGAAACGGATATGATAAAGAAAATGTGTTTAAGTTGATGGATAAAATGTTTTGTATTGATGGGTAAGAGTTAGGGTCTAATGTTTGATGTGAAAATCTCATTGGGGTATTAACTTTATCACATTTGATTAAAATGAAATTGGAACCAGTGTCAGAATACAAAACATCCCCAACATCTTTTTCAAAATTTAATATCCCCAACAATGAACGAAGATGAGGAGTACAAAATTTAATTTTCAGCGGAAATTTAATAAGGTTATTTATTTCATCAAGTTCAAAAAGTTTATCGGTTTTGATTTAAAATTTTCTTCATACCATACGATAAATGATTCATTTAAATAACTTAAAATCATGTTAATATCCCATTTCGCTATCACATTATTTATATACATATCATACGTTTTTTCAAGGTCATCTTTAATAAATGATATATAATCTGAAGGGTCTAAAAGAATGGGATTAAATTTACCACTCACAGAAACGAGAGTAACATTATAAATTCCGCTAACTGTTAAATTTAATTCACAGTTATTATTCGAAATAATATTGATAATTGACATTTTTTATTACGATTAAAAATATGGTAAAGCGTTATTTTCCAGTGATAAATAAAACTAGAATAAGATTACCTCAAGAATTCATAAATTCAACGAATAAGAAATTCATTCATGTTATAAATTTTAGTGTTTTCAGAAAATATGAGTCAGTGTCATATTCATCAACAGGTTATATTTCACTTCATTCAAATTTAGTTCAATCAAACCCATATAATGACCATTTCATAAGATTTTCAGATGGTATTAAAAATGTAATTGATAGATTAAAATATGAACAGATTGACAATATCGAATTTTTGGAATTTTGGTTTAAATATCCCGATGGAAAAAAGATTGAAGTTAAAGATAAAGCTGATACTATAACAAAAACAATTACAATGACCGATCCGGATAGTGGGGAACAAAAAGAAATAAAACAAACGATAGAAACTGGTGAAAGGTCAATTATTATTGATTATGATTCAAAGGATTATTATTCGATAATGTTAATGCTTGAATATTAAATAGCCTTAACAAAGAATTTTTCAAGTGATATTTTATATTCATCAACTATTTTATTATAAATATCATTATATGTTAAATGAAGTTCAGTTGTTGTTCCGTTCTTTGATATCTTAATTGTGCTAATATCCTTTATAGGATTTATTTTTGCAACTGTTCCGCAGCATGAAACCTCATCATCTATGAAAAATTGAATCTTAACGTCTGAATCTTGAACATCACAAAGAATGGCGATAATGTGAATTAATGATTCATAAGGTAAAATAATTAAACCGGATTGGTCAATTAAATTTATTATTGAATCATAATTATTAATTATTATATCACGGTAAATTTTCATTAATTCAGAATTAATGTCTATTTTATATGGGTTCTCGATGTTTGATGAAAGAGGTGGGGGTGTGTTGGATAAGTGGGAATTTCAACAGGTTCTTTACCGGGTTCAGATAAAATGATTGGGTCTCCATCTTCTTTATTTTGCTCCTCCTCCTTTTTCGGTAAGTCACGAGTTAATAAATTTGGTTGAGTTGCTGACCTTGTTAATTCGGGCTAACATTAACTTTAACATTTTGAATAATTCGTGATTTATCATCATTTACGTTATAACCAACCGTAATCTCTGCTTTTGCGTTAGTGTTCTTTTGACTAGTGAAACGTCTTCTCATTTATAATCGAATAAAAAAATATATTTAAACTTTTATTTTGCTGGAAGTTTTGAATCTATTATTCCCTGTATTTGTTCTTGAAGTTGATTTTTAGCTGGTTCATTGTAATTAATAGACCTAATATATTCATTAATTGCATTCTTATAATCATCTGATTTCTCAAATTTTCTTTTATCTGATTCCTTAACTAAATCATAAGTTAAACCTCGTTGCTGATATAATGGTTTCTTAATTAAATCTTTGAATGCTTGAGATAAAGCACCTGATGCAATTCTTGCTACTATAATTGGTTGGAATTGATGTTTAAGTTCATCTTTAACATTTGCGAAAACTGGATCGAATAAAGCAACTTTAAAGAATTTCTTAGCTGAAATTTCAGGTCTAATATTTGCATATTGACCATCAAACTGGTTAGAATATCGTGGTAATCCATCCGGTCCCTCTTCAATAGCATTTAATTCTTCATTGAAATAAGAATATGGATTATAACGGTATGAATTAATTGGACCATTTTCACCTTCTCCAATGTATTGTTTAACAGCTTTTCCATTTTCATCAAATTTTATAGGATAACGTTCATTATATGCTTTACGTTTAGGATAATCAGTTATAGTTAATTTATAACCATTTATGACTTTAATATTACCTTGACCATCAGTAATGAAAACTTCATTTATACCATCAGGTTTTCCATTTGGACCCGTAATGTCTGCTTCGTGTGCTTCCCAATTTGGACCTTGACGTTTGGCATATGCTTGAGCTTCTGGTAATGTTAAAACGTTTCTCATTTGTTTAACATCTTTTTGAAGACCAGCAACAATATGAACTAATTTTTCATTCCATCAGGAACTTTCATAGTTCTATTATATGCACTCTTTTTGTTTGTTCCTTGTTTTAATGGAACCTGTAGAAGATTTGCTATTTCTGTCATGTTTAATTATAAATAAAAAATAAAAATTAATTATAAAAAGTTAATCAAATTTAACACTACCTTTATTTAAATCAACTATTATTTTTCCATGTTCACCTAATTGCTGATATTGTGTGTAAAGTTCATTAATGCTCATTGGTAAATTCACTTGATAAAGCATAACGTTCAACTGTTGACGACTAAACCCACTGAAAATGAAAAGGGTTGATAGATTTGATTTAATGTTTGTGCTTAATGCTTTGAAATATTGAACAGCCATAAAGAATGAACACTGAATGTGTCGACATTGAGTTAATAACTGATTAAAATATGATTTCTCATTTGTTATTAGTTTTGATTTCACTGCATCATCTAGAAAAATGAGTGAATGCAAAAATTCTCTATCAAAATTTGAAATAGAAAGTGTTTCAAATAATTCATCCCGTTGTTTATCAATAATTTTATCCTCTAATCCTTGCTTCTTGATTGTATTATATAATTCTTTATACATTAAAAAGTTTTTTAAATAATCTTCTGCTTCTTCTTGTGATAAATAAATAATTGGAATTTTGATTAAATGCTTTAAAGATTCAAATGTATCATCTGAAGGTGAACCTGAACGGTTGATATAAATTAACACATGTGAATAGGGGAAGTGTTAGCAATAATGATAATTTGTTTTAATATCGTTAATGTTTTACCTTTATTCTGTTTACCAATTGCTGCAGTGATTGAATTTAAGTAACATTCAGAATATGGAATTTTCATTAATTTTTCCTTAGATAGAGCATTTCTATTATCACTCAATGCTTCATTAATCATATCATCTACGTATGTATTATATACTCCCGCTAATTCTTCATAAGGGGTGGATGAATTTAAATCCATTTAATCAAAAATAAATTTATAATTTTAAACATTTCTATTCATCAATATTTCATCATATGAACTTCTATACTGTGGTGGTGTACCTGTTGGATGATATTTCAAACCTTCGTCCGGTGTCCATGTCCAATATGTAGTCCTAGTAAACCAAACCTGAGGAGGATTTGTCACCTTTGAACAGTAAGTGTCATTTTCACCCTGAATGATTGGATAAGCTTTCACTTGTACTGTAACTTGTGAGTTGAAAGTTTCTAATCCATCAAAGAATATACCCGCTCCATCACGTTGAACTGGAATAGTGCATAAGAATGAAGTTTGGTCTTTCCATGTTCTAGCTAATGGCGTGCCATCATCTGCATTCAGTGGTCTAGTTAATGAGTCCTCGTATTTTTCTGTGCATTCATTCACTCCATCTAAATCAGAAGCTTGAAGCATACGTGTAAAGAATATGTCACCCACTGTGGTCATCGCTTGATCGGGGAAGTTTCTGGAATCTATAGTGACCTGAAGACCTCGAAGCATTGGATTTTCTAAAACCGTTCTTTGCATTGCATTCTTCGGAAATGTTAACACAACATCTGTAACATTATGAAGGGCGTATGAGAAATCCGAGCTAATACCTTCTGGAGTGATGCATCCTCCATTTAGTGAACGAACGTCAATATGTTGAGCTGGAATCATGAATGGATCTTCCTTACTGAATAAACGTGGTATTGCTTTAACTGATTCTTCAATTAAACCGTATCCTGGTGTAATGCATTTATCCTCTAAAACTTCCATCTTTGTGCATGAAATAATAACGTCATCAACTGTTGCGTCAGCAGATGTAGCGGTTAAGCTTGTAATTATTTTGGCAGGAAGTCCAATTTGTTGGAATTTGCGATCATATTTATAAACATGATTCATAATCTTTTCATAATTTTCATCAGTTATCTTTTCATAAACGTAATTTTGTAAATCAGCAACTCTTAACGGGTCAACCTGACAAAATACTAAAGTATCCCTGAAAACATAATATTTAAGAATGATATCACCAAATGATTTAGGATAATCATCGAACGCCTGAAATGCTAACAAATCATTTACCGGAATAATCATATCAAAAGTGACATCAACTTCTTCATTTGCTTTCTTGAAAACTTCTGAAGGGTCAATATATTTACCACATACTGAGTTATCATATTTTTGAACATTATTATATAACGAATGAACAAACTTTTTAACTTTCCTTTCTGATTTTGGTTTATATGTTGCAAATGCGAAAGATTCACAGGCGCAATTCATCTGAAGATAACCGGCATCACCTCT